GAAACCTTCAAGATTTGAAGACTGTTTGTGTGGAAGAATGGGCCAAAATCACACCTGAGCAATGCATGSCACTAGTTTCTCCATACAGGAGGTGTCTTGAAGCTATCATTGACAACAAAGGGTTTTGTACAAAGTATTAGATAAATTTCAGTGTGTTCAATACTTTTTCCCTGTGCCATTCCACATTATTACAAATAACTTCATTTCTGGACTTTTATGGTTTGATTTCTTTGTATGTATGGATCACTTGGGTTGTTACCAACATCTGGTGAAAATTTCATGTCACTAGCACCTCTAGTAATATATTTACTGAGAAAAATGTTGAAGTGTTCAATACTTATTTTACTCGCTGTATGGGCAGAGGCACCGCTGTCCACCAGTATACCTTGCTGCTGTTCGTTGTTGGGCTGTCATTCACTCATTTGGAGAACAAATGCATCTTCTTCTTCATTTGTGGGTTTATGTTTGTCTTTAACGCACACAGTTCGTTGTCCTGTGTCTGTGATGGTGGCTCCCTTGTTGTTGACCTTTGACCCCATGACCTTAAAATCACTAATATTCATGGTTGACCCAAAACTTGTCTAGCTGTGACGTTTGATACCTCTAAGTTAAACTGTTTTCATACTAGAGGTATTTTAATTAAGGGGTCAATTTTGACCTTGACCTTTGACCCTATGACCCTAAAATTACTAATTTTCATGGTTGGCCCACCACCTGTCTAGCTGTGATGTTTGACACCTCTAAGTTAAACTCTGACATACTAGAGCTATTTTTTATAAAGGGGTAACCTTTTGATATTGACCTTTGCCTCATGACCCTAACATCACCAATAATCATGGTTGACCCACCACCTGTCTAGCTGTTAAATTTGATAACCTCTAAGTCAAATGGTTGTCATACTAGAGGTATTTTAATATAGGGTGACCTTTTGACCTTGACCATTGACCCCATGACCCTAACATCACTAATAGTCATGGCTGACCCATCACCTGTCTAGCTGTGATATTTGACCCCTCTAAGATGAACTGTTGTCATACTAGAGGTATTTTTAAAAAAGAGTGACCTTTTGACCTTGACCTTTGACCCCATCACCCTAACAGCACTTAATAGTCATGGTTGTCCCACCACCTGTCTAGCTGTGATATTTGACACCTCTAAGATAAACTGTTGTCATACTAGATGTATTTTTATAAAGGAGTGACCTTTTGACCTTGACCTTTGACCCCCTTGACCCTAACATCACTTATAGTCATGTTGATCCACCACTTGTCTTGCTGTGATATTTGACACCTCTAAGATAAACTGTTGTCATACTAGAGGTATTTTTATAAAGAAGTGACCTTTTGACCTTGACCTTTGACCCCATAACCCTAACATCACTTATAGTCATGGTATATCCACCACCTGTCTAGCGGTGATATTTGACACCTCTAAGATAAACTGTTGTCATACTAGAGGTCTTTTGATATAGGGGTAACCTTTTGACCTTGACCTTTGACCCCATGACCCTACCATCACTGATAGTAATAGTTGACCCTCCATCTATTTAACTATAATGTTTCACATTCCTATGTTGCATGGTTGCAGAGTTAGAGTTAAAAGAATACCTACCAACAGGCAGCTTGAACAAACAAACACTGAGAGCGCCTGATCTGTGTCGTGCGTGACACATAACACGAGAGTGCACGTACGGGACATAGCAGGTGGGAAACTGCTTCCTCCTCCGAATTATGAGGAGGAGGACAGAMGCCGCTCAGAGTAATAACTCTGGAGCTGTAAGAGCTTGTGATGCTCTTGGGCATAAAAGCCGGATTGGGACGCAAAGTCGCAGAGCCGCCATCCTCCCGTATCCTGAGACAGGAGGGAGACACTGACAGGGCAGACAGCTCGCTGACTCTCTTTGCTGATGTTARCGCTAACAGCAGCGCTGTTTTTTGAGACAAAAACTTTAATGAGACCTGATCCAAAGGCTCAAAGGGGGCTTTAGTTAAAGCGTGTAGCACTAGTGTTAAATCCCACTGCGGAACAAATGTGCGCGTGACAGGTCTGCGCCTACGCTCTCCCTTTAAGAACCGTTTTGCCAACGGATGATTAAAAACCATCCTGTCACCAAAACCCACGTGACAGGATGAAATCGCCGCAGCATACATTTTAACGGTGCTGAAGGCTAAACCTCTGTCCATTAACATCTGTAGGAAAGACAGAATGCAGGACAAAGAGCAGGAAACTAGGTCTGTAGTTTTTTCTACACACCAGTGCTGAAAGGATGACCACTTGGCTGTGTAGGATGAGACTGTGGATGCTGCGCGCGCATCCTGGATGGTGCGCACCACATCAGCAGATAAACTCAGGTTTACTAAGCATTCCCGTTCAGCGGCCAGGCCCAGAGGGGCTGGCCCAGTCTCAGGTAGCTCCTGATCGCTCCTCCCGCCTGCAGGAGAGTGTTCTCCTGCCAGGGTAGCTGAAGCGGGAGACCTGAGAGTAATGACTGGAGGACCGGGAACCAGTGCGCTTCCGTGCGCTCCAGAGCAATCAGAATAGCCCGCCGACGGTCTGCTCTGATCCGGTCCAGTAGTCGTGGGATCAGAGGGACAGGAGGGAAGGCATAAAGCAACTTGTTCGGCCAAGGACGGTGCGCAAAGGCATCCACTCCCAGAGGAGGGTTGTCCTGTGAGCTCAGGGAGAACCAGAGGTCGCACTGTGTGTTTTCTCTGCTGGCGAACAGGTCCACTTCCGCCTTGCCGAATCTGTCCCAGATTTGCGTAATTATGGTTTTGTGCAGGGGCCAGTCCCCGTCCTGGGGACCTCCTCTGGACATGATGTCCGCTCCCTTGTTCAGCACACCCAGAAAGTAGACCGCTCGGATTGAGCGTAAGTGGGTGTGTGCCCAAAGGAGCAACTCTCTGGCTGTGTCCAGCAGAAGCCGGGAGCGTACCCCTCCCAGGCGATTTATGGAAGCCGCTGCCGCTTTGTTGTCCATGTGGACCAGAACATGCTGGTCCCGGACCAGATGAATTAAATGCACAAGCACTTTCCACACAGTCAGAAGTTCCAGAACATTTATGTGGGGGACAGGATGGGCAGACCAGTGGTCTCCCACAGTCTGGGACAAGCATGTCCCCCCCCACCCTGACAGTGACGTGTTTGTGAAGACAGGCACGTGATGTGTCGCTCTGCTCAGAGGGACGCCTGCCGACAGTGTGTGCGGCTTCCTCCAGTGGCTCAGATCCGCCTCCACTGAGGAGGGGATCGATACTATCCTGCGCTTGTGGCGTATCGGATCGATCTTTAGCCGGGAGAAGCACCGCTGTAGGGGTCTCGTGTGTAGCAGCCCGAGCGGAACCACCGCGTGGGCTGCTGTCATCATGCCCAAGAGACGCATGATGGTTAGAGCTGTCACTGACGTGCGGGGTCTGACATGGGCTAACAACGACAGCAGTCTTTTTTTGGGTAAGGACAGATGAGCTGTCATGGTGACTGAGTTCAGATCCACACCCAGATACGTGCTGGATTGGGCCGGAATGAGAGAACTCTTTTTCCAGTTTATGGAAAAACCCAGCATCCTTAGGTGTGCTGACAGTTTTTCCGTCTGTGACGCTGCTTCCTGTCTGGATGGAGCCAGCAGGAGCAAGTCGTCCAGATAAAACAGGATTCTCATTCCCGCAGAGCGCAGAGGCTGCAGTGCTGTCTCTACGCACTTGGAGAAGATGCGTGGTGTCAGTGCGTAACCGAAAGGAAGATGGTTGTACTGGTACTGAATCTCCTGAAAAGAAAAACGCAGGTATTTTCTGTGCGCCGGGATAACCGGGACATGAAAATAAGCGTCCTTAAGGTTGATTGACGTGAACCAATCGCCTTCCTGAACACATGTGAGCATCTGTTTGGTTGTCAACATGTGAAAAGGTCTTTTCAGTATGAATTTGTTGAAAAACGAGAGATCCAGGATCGGTCTCATTGCACCCGTTTTTTTGGGGACAAGGAAATACCGGGAATAAAAACCCTCGTATTCCTCCCCACTTGGAACTCTGGAAATGACTTCCTTGTTTAGGAGTTCCTGGAGCTCTGCTTGAAGAGCGAGATCCTGCTGAGGAGACGACAAGTGGGTCTCCAGGATCCTGCTGAAACGGGGAGGCTTGGTTGCAAACTGCAACCTGTAGCCCGTTTTTATCAAGCTTTTCATCCACTTGTCCATAGGACAAGTGTGTTCCCAGACAGAGCTGCGCTCTGAGAGAGCTCGCGCAAGCGCCGGTTGTGAAATCCACTCAGAGCCTTCGCCGCCGTCATGCTCTCTCCTGTGACCCATGGGAGGCTTTGCTCGAAAGGGCTATGCAGGAGCTCCGGGGAGCCCTGTGTGCCGTCGTTTTGAATGCGGCTCGGGAGGGATTGCCTCCGGGGCCGTACGTGAGCATGAGTCACGGTGAGTTTCATTGGAGCCAAACACAGCACTCATCRCGCCGCTGTGATTGGTGGATTCAAGCTGAAACGAGGCAGGGGTGACATGCCCCTGCTTGTGACGTGGCTCATGCTGCCTGTCTTCTCTCACGTCCGCCGTTCGACGGCGGGGTGAAGGAAAGAGTGTGTGTGTGTTCGCCAGCCACGAGGGGGCAGAACGGACCACCGAACGTGGGACGGTGGGAGAAGATGTTTTTGTGTGACTGTGTTTAGCAAGGACCAGGCGTTGGCTAGCTTCAAAACTAGTGGACTTAGCCTTACCCGGAGTGGGGGAAACGTGTGTGGGACAGACAGAGTCCTGAGACCTGACTGTGTTAGATGCTTGTGAGAGGAATGTGCCCTTTAGGGGACGATGTTTGTTTTTATTCACACAAGCACCATAAACATCAAAACCACACATTACCCCCCCCCCCCCGCCAGTCATTTCTTCTGCCTCTTGAGCGGAGGCGGAGGATTGGACCAGGTGCAGGCCAGCTGCCCAGTCCCGCGCCGAGGAGCACCCTGTTGCTGCTGGTGCCGGGGCAGAGGCCGGGAGTGCGGCTCCAACGCCGCTGCTGGTGTCGGACGAGGCACCATCGATGGTGGCGCACGCCGAGTCTGCTGCCTGTGAGCCCGGCGGTCCCTGCCGGAACCAGACGAAGTCTGCCGGTGAGTCGGTCTGGAGCGGGACTGCTCCCGGAACTGCTCCTGAACCGTCTGTGATGTGTTGAGGTGCTCCAGCAGCTGTTGGTACTGAGTGCCGAAGAGCCCGTCCTCGATGATGGGTCCCTCCAGCATCTGTTTCCGCATTTCCGCGGAGACGGAAGGGGCGAGGTGCAGCCACATCTGCCTCTGCAAAAGCGTCATCCGGGCCTTGATGCGGGATGCGCACATCGCCTGAGCGGCGCAGAGATTGAGGATTGTGTCGGCTGCCGCGCAGAGCTCCATCTTCTCCTCCTGTCGCGCCTCGCTCTCTGACGCTCTCTTTGAGATGCTGAAAGCCAAAAGAGCGATGTTATTAGTCGCAGCACCAGACTGTGCTGCTCACTGATGATAATGGTCAGTCCAGTTTACAAGCTGTCTGTCTGCTTGATTGTGGGGGAAAGGTCGCCGTCCGGCCGACCGTACCGCCTCAACACCGAAAACTGTGGAAAGCGTGGGTTCCAGTGCTGGAACTGGCGGGAACTCGGAGTCGGTCATCCCCTCTATCTTGGTCACGTCCGCATAGGACATAACCAGAGCTCTTAGCTTGGTGGGGTCGCCGTAGGCTGACGTGAGGTACGACTGCACCACCGGGAATTGCGGCCAAACCGCAATCCAGCGACCGGCAAGGGGTGAGGCAAACTGGCCCGCCAGCTCGTCCGGTGGGGGGGCCAGGACCTCAGGGACAGACAGTCCTCTGGCATCTGTTGCTCATTGGATGATGTCCGGGAGGGCACTCACAAGGGCCCTGATGGCTGGTAGTGGCATGGAGGAAGAGCGAGGGAGACCCAGGTTCCTGGGTTCCTCCTCTCCTGGGAGATCCGTGTCCAGCCCTGCCACCTGGGAGGGGTGAACCGAACCGCCACTGTCGCCTTCAGCCTGTGACGTGGGGCCATCCGACTCCGGTCCAAAGTCAATGAGTTGGTCGAGCAGAACGTGGTCGGACAACTCGAACCCTTCGTCCGGTTCAGCGAAGTGGTCGGCCCGCCGCTGCCTCTCCTCCACCGGCAGTTTTTTGCACGCACAGCACGCCGGCTCAGCCGTCAGGGCCTGGTTGGCGTGTTCGGCACCGAGGCATCCCTCGCACGTTACATGAAATACAACAGCTTACATGAAATAGAACAGAAGGTAGCCGGTTCAACTCCAGGTTGGTCTCCATGTTGCATGTGTGTTCACGTGTGATAGGTTAAATGTAGAGACTTAAAGGAGATCTATTATGCAAAATTCACTTTTTAAAAGTTTTTTACTCAACTTTGGGTGTGTACTTCTTAAGAAAACAGTCCTAGGACCAAAAAATGCACCCAAGGGCATATTTACTGTAAGTAAATGTATTTTCATGTATATTAATGACAAGTTTTATACATTTTGTGATGTCACAAGCCGTACGACAACCCACCAGAACCTGCGTTCAGCCCCTTACCTAGCAAACCCCGGRTGAAGCTGCTCCTCCGTATAAAAAGCCGTCACGGTGTTGTTGTGTAATGTGCAGCTCATTTTATAACAAGCCTCCAATAGCACAGTGGATAGAGTGTTGGTTTAGAGGGTGGGAGACTAGGGATTGAGCCCGACATGGATACTAAAAATTTTATTTTTTATTTTTGTTTGTTAAGAACATCTCATGTACTTCTATTGTTTAGCTTATTAAAGCCTTGTTWAAGCCTATTTGCCAAAGTTGAGTAAAAAAAACTTTAAAAAGTGAATTTTGCATAATAGGTCTCTTTTAAGTCTCTGCATTTAACCTATCACACATGTGAACACACATGCAACATGGAGACCATCCTGGAGTTGAACCAGCTACCTTCCGATCACAAGCTTGGCTTCTGTACTCCCTGTGCCACTACCCTAGTTTGAGATTTCTGAGTTCAAATCTTTTTTGAGTTCAACCAAAAACTTAGAAAGTCAATCAAAATCTTAGATAGTCGACCAAAAACTTAGACAGTCAACCAAAAACTTAGACAGTCAACCAAAAACTTAGATAATCAACCAAAAACTTA